CGTTAGAAACTCCATAGTTAAGCGTGCTTGGCTTGGAGCAATTCTATGATGGGTGACCCCCTGGGAAGTTTTCTCGGGGAGCGTGCGAGTGAGGACAAAGCATGCTGAAAAGACCCATGTTGGTACAGTGGGGACAATACATTGTCGATCTAACGGTCGGGACAGCCGGTTAAGTGGGACCCGGATCATTACAGTTATTATATCACATAGGTCGTTGAACGAATGATAAAAGTTTGGGGACCGAAACATTAACCCAAAAAAAATTAGTTGGCATGTACGCCTCTGAGTTGTTTATTGCCCGAGAGTTATATTTTGAACTGGATCGACATCGAAATCGTTTCAATTATGTTTTGAACCGGAATGACTTCAATGACATCAAATTTGTATTGGAATGAACTCAGTGCCGTTTTGTTATTTCGACATTTTGATCCAGAATAATATCATTGTCTTTACATTTGAAAAGAAGTGATATCGGGACTGGAAGAATTTCAATGACGATAAATTTGTAACGGAACAACGCCAATATCGTTATGTTAAATTGATACATGTGATACAAGTCATTTTATAGACTTTTTGAAATTTGAGGACTAAGTTGTAAGTTTCTAATAATTGATCCGGGACATGAAACAACTATTGAATATCTTATGGAATTAATTAGATGAAATTAGAAGTCAAGCGATTAAAATTTCATGAGAAAATGACTAGATTGAACAAAGTATGGAAGTATGGGGACCAAAATGTCAATTTCCTAAACTATAGGTGGAGTGCACCACAACTTTCATCACACGCCGTACACTTTTTGGCGCAACAACTGCAATGTCGTTTTGTTAGTCTAGAATGACTTCAATATCTTTATGTAAACAATACAATTCTTGTACTGGATCAATATCAAAATCGTTTTGTTTGTCAGGAATGATTTCAATGTCATTATGTGAAATAATAAATTTTTCGTACTGGAACGACAAATGTAACAACTATAACAACATTTGGCTCGTTCCAAAAAAAAAAAAAAACAAAACCACATAAAATTTGTTTGTTTTGTAAAAAGATAAAACGATATCTATAAGGTGAAAACATAACCACAATTATATAAAATGACTTCAACGTCAATCCAATAGCACAAAACAATAACATCATAAAGAAGCAACAAATGATTTTATTGGCGTTTCAATATCAAGACATTGTCACTACAATGATTACAAAATGTAATAAATCATTTGTTGATTTAAATAAGCGCAAAATAATAAAGGTACATGTCACGACAATATTTCGCAGATTACGAATTACTACGAGCTGTTTAGCTTGTGCAAGTGGAACGGGTATATTTCCATTATTCTTGCACTTACTGCATTCACGAGATGTACAATTATTACCTTCAACAATTCCAAGAAACCCAGTACAATTTGTATCATGCAAGAAGATGTTCAACTTTGTGCCTTTAATAATGCTAAAATCAGAATTTATATCATCAACTACAGCAATAATTTCAGACTAGGGCGAGATT